CTACTCTGCTGAACCTGTAGACCTCCCCTGCACCACGAGCGTGGCGCCATGGGCCTGGAGCCCCAGGGACCCAGAGTAGTGAAATTCTGCACTCTCGCTCACCACATGCTTTATATCTATCAGCATCTCCCCCCTCAGCATGTCTGTTACCAACCCATTATCCCTTTAGCTCCTACACACACACACACACACACACACAGATGATCAAGTGTCAGCTTCCCCTTTTGGGAAACACATTATGCTAGAACATATTATTACACCACCTGCAAGATAGCTACTCCTACCAAAGAGACAAATGTACACATTTAACTCATTAACCATGAACCATGCCAAGAAAACATGAATTAGTGATGATGCAGGAAAATTGTATCAAAACGATCGCTAAGTGACAGATGCGAGTGGGTAAACACAAGAGGTCATATGGTTCATGTGCATGTGATAGTATAAGAAGATAAAAAGCCACATCAGATAAGAAGCCACAGTTTGAAGCATAGTGGAGGATGCCAGGCCACACAGCTTCACTGCAACACCTGTGCAGTGGCAACATGCCCATCGACATATTGTGGAAATTAAATAAATAAATCAATAAATAGCTTTCAACATAGAACATGAAACAAGTACGTAGAGATATCTCTCCACTTTTCCTCAAAAAATGAGATTTTAATTGAGACAGCAAGAGTGACTGGGGATACACTCTTACAATAAAGATGCCAAAAGGTTCTTTGTAGCAATGCTGTGGAAAACCCACTTTTAGTTTCTGACAAAACCTTTTAGTGTATAGTTCTTTAAAAAAACAGAAGTTAAAGTCACTCCAAAAGAGAACTGAAAGGGGAACCATTGTAGAATCCTTTTTTGGCACCTTTATTTTTAAGAGTTTAGGCTTTCTCCCTCTCGCTCTATCTGTAGCGTACATATCCTAGCTGTACTATTAATACTATTTACCATGCACAATACCCACTTAGCCTCTGCAAACAGGAGTGTTAAAGTAGACACTATAGACAAGCTGCAATAAAAAATTTATTTACATCATAATAGTTACAGTCTATGTCCAAACGTTTCCAGGCACACCATCTACTTAGTGAGTGAAGCTACTTTAAGGTGCACATATTGCTGACACCAGCATTCAGTTTGTATAATATTGTATACTAAAAAGAATTGTCAATACAATGGGACTGTGAAGAAACCATATATAAGCCATACCAAGCATACAAAGCTCCCCAGCACTGGGCTGTAGAACAGTGAAACAGTGCTCTCTGGAGAGACAGAGTGCCAATACCATTGGAGTAAGCTGGAGTGGTGATTGTGGTCATTCTACGCTGTAAAAAAAAATTACTTCATGGGGTAACAAGCAATTGAACTAGTTTTATTCAAAATTAGTTTGAAAGAATCGTTCATTCAAAGTATTTATTTAGGTTGAATAAAACTAGTTAATTTACTTTAGCCATTTTTTACAGTGTACATCAGTACCTGACCTCACTAATGCTCTTGTGACCGAATCCAATCAAATGCTCACAGCAACGTCCCGATATCTAGTGTTTGTTCTTCCTAGAACAATAGAAGCTGTTACTGGAACAAAGGGGGGCAAAATCCTTATGAATACCTTTGATTTCAGAAGAAATACTGGATGTGTGTCTTCAAATCTTGCTAGGTTAGCTTGGAGCTAGCTGGAAGAGTGGTGGCTACCCCAAACATTTTGCTTGCATGACACTCTGCCAATGTGCTATAGTTTGTCTAGCAGCACAGTAAGGGAGCTGGATTGATAAGCGCACTCCTTCCCCTCCTGTTCCTCTCAGGCTGTAGGTCCTTTTTACCGTCAGTGTCAGAATGTGGTGTATTGGGCTGGATCAACAAGTTCATTACGTTCAAGAAAATCATCAATCATCCTTTCTCTCTTTCCTTCTCTTCTCCTTCCTCTATCTGTCCTGGTTCCCTCTTCTCTCTCCTGCACTCTCTTACTGCCTGTCTTTCCTTCATTCTCTCACTCATGCATGCCACTCACCCCCACCCCCCACCTCTCTCTCTCTCATCTCTGGCTATGGTTCTCTATTAACCAGACCTGTAATTCTTCACTACCGATCTCAATGCATAGCACCTTCTGGCAGCATTTTGAAGAAAGCTCCGCAACATTTCTAGATACTGCTATGTACAACAAAAAATATGGAACTGTCTGCAGATATCCTGCTGTCAGAACAGGCCTCTTCTGAGCGCAATGACCTATTCTTCCTTAGTAAATGCTGGTTACTGACTATGACCATAGTCCACATTTCATTTGCAGTGGCAGACAATAGAAAATCATCCTGGTTGTTCGCAGGCATGATTTATGGTCTTCTGCTGGAAGAACAACAGTGGGAAGCATTTGTGTGCCAGAGCTTCTCAGGGTTGGTGAATGACAGCGCGTCACATCTGCATGCAGCTTCGCAGGATGGCTTTAATTCAGCGTGACTTCAGTGCGAGCTGCAGCAGCGTCTGTCTCCTCTCTCTCATCACGCCCGGGACAGGCGTGCTGGGTGCTGCAGAACGACATTCAGCCAAGACAAAAACATCAATAGAGCTGTAGAAAAGAGGGAATAAATGGAAATTTGAGCGTGTCTCTATGGATCCTATGCCATCTGAGAGGTTTGAAAGGCATTTGTAGAGCAGTGTTTGAGGGTCCACTCTAAACAGAACTGCACAAGGTTCTGTGCAGGAATTACGTAAAAAAGACAGGAAAATAATTTTAAAAAAAGATCCATCATCCTCGCGTGAGTGCTAAAATCCATTTTGAATTCGCGAGGAGCGGTGTCAGGGCCCGCAGGTGTAATGAGTCAATTAAAGCAGCTCAGGAGCTGACATCTCCATATGCTGTACAGTGCCGGTCTGTCACTGGAGCCAATTATACACAAACATCTTCCTTCCCCATTCCTGCCCTGGGACAGCTAAACAAATGTACCCCCTCCCCTCTCTCATCACTGGGTCATGACAGCTCACCAGCATGAACAGCATGGTGGGACAGGCCCAGGAAGGCTGCGAATGTGCATCTGGCTTATTGCTGGAGTGCACAAAGGGCTTTACAGCTACAGACAAGGAGCCTGCAGTCACCCATTGATTTAGTCTCACAGTGACATGGGGATTGCAAATCGATTTGCAGTAAGCTATTTGTATCCTCATTAAAACAGTGTTCTGCCGCAGGTGAATTGCAGCTCATACAGAGAGACGGAGAGAGTAAGAACTTCTCCTCTGGAACCCCTCACTCCAAACCAATTCATCTACATCCACTGACCAAGACTCACTTAACTCAACCACACAATGACCAGAACCTAGTGCATGCTATATGTGTATTGACTGTGAAGGCTGGAAAACAGCCTAATGCTTCACACAAGAGAATCTGCCCTGCATTTTAGTGCTAAGCTGCTCTTAGAACACTTAGCAGCCACAGACAGCTCCCGAGCCCGACACGTGCAGCACGAGTAAAGCACAAAGACTCTGATGCTTCCATCTGTCGAGCTGGTGAACTCCTGCCACAAAACATATTGTGCAAATTTGCCTCAAACAGGCCTGTCTGTCTTCATTGAAGCGCCTCAGCCCAAAATCAAATTACTGAATGTCCTTATTCATAATTCATTTCTTTATTATGAATAGCCGCTGCAAGCTGTCCAGTAGTAATGCATTCTCAATTGATCCAGATTACTCTCGAATATGCTGCTGATGTCTTGTTAGCTGCATCGAATGTTGTGTTGTGTCTTCTCGGCCTAGTAAGATTCTTAATAGCAGTAATAGCAATAATAATGGCACTATAATGAAGCACAGTCATTCTCTTTCTCTCGTTTTTTGTACATATGAGGAGGCAAGGCTGCTGCTTATTAAAATCCATAACTAGCGGAGATAGCTGCTGAATTGCAGTGTAATTCTCTTTCCTCCCCCTACGCCAGGTGCTGTTAAATTGCAGTGTTCAGCTGAGAGCTGCTCTACCTGCCAAAGCCAGTGATTACACCTCCACTGTTATGCAATGTCTGTGTTATTCCTCAGCTAGAGATCATTGTTAGAGGTCCTCTCTCGCTCTGAAATGTTCCTTCAGCACAGTATCTCATAATTTATAAAAAAAACACAGAAGGCCTGCGTACAGTAATGTGCCCAGGGAGCAGTTAACACATGAAGTATTAAAGAGATGAGCCCTTCTTACAACTGTCAACGAATATCTGAAAGGCCAGAAAAAACACACAGTTGTATGAGGTACTGCACAAGTTAAAGAGCACAATTAACCAGCGTATGCAATAATGCACTGGCTTGAATTACCATTTACGTTCCATAAGCATGTTACAGTCGCTACTATGGTGCTGCTATTATCAACACCCAGAACCTACAGACCATTTGGAACACAATATGCAATGGTTAATCAATATTTCAGGAGCTGGTAACAGAAGCAATAGCTCATCAATAATGCTGCCTCTCTGTTAGCTCTGCAGACACTTATGTAGGGAATGGTGGGGGGAATGGAGGGTGCTGATGGAGGAGCGCGGAAAGCAGATACGGGGATGTGTTTTCTTTAATCCACTGTGTTTGGCAGGACAACACAGACTGGGGCTGAATTTGTCTGAGGAGCTTTTGGCATGAGCGCGGACGCTCACATTAGAGCTTCAGCCGTACCCGCTTCACTGAACAAATCAGCAGAAAACAGGCTCCAGACAAAATTAGACGTTATGGGACCAGACCAGAGGAGAAGTGAGAGAGAGAGAGAAAGAGAAAACGTTCACCAGAGACATAAGAGTTAGTATGCTACCCATATGAAAAGGTTATGCTCACAGTCTCTCTCTCTGTCTTGCTCTTTCATTTCATTCAAAGTGTTCTGTAATGATACCACATTACCTCTGAAAGAGGTCACACTATTGAGACATTTCTCTCTCTCTCTCTCTTTCTGTCTCTCTCTCTGCTTTCCATTTAGAACCAACAGCACTGATTAACATTTCCAGGAGAACAATATTGAATCCCAGAGCCAGAAGCTAGGCAGCGTGTGGCAGACTGACCGTCTTTGCGGTGGTAGGTGATCTCCACCTTGCGCTCCTCGGAGCCCAGCAGGGCCTGGGCCACCTGGGCGATGGCATGCCGCGTGGTCTGCGCGCCGTGCAGGAAGTCACACGTACAGGGTCTCTGCATGATGTCCGGCCGGGAGAAACCCGTCATCTCGCAGAAGCCATCATTACAGTAGATAATAGCACAGTTCTGCACACGGGCATTGGCTATGATGAATTTCTTATCTGCAGAGGACAAAAGACAGTGAAGGTCACTCTTCATCCCAGATACATTGAATTTTTTTTTTTGGTTTCTTTCCAGCTTATCCTGACCTTGTCACACTGTTCCTTCTCAAGAGACTTAAGCAGTTTCCATATGGTTGTGCACAAATTTGGATGCATGAGGTCAACAGAAATTACAGGAAGGTGTTATTTTATCATTTAGTGATGTTTTTTGACTGTAAGGGTTCTTTCAGTTGCACTACCAAGTTAAACATTCACCCAAATAATTCAGAGATCTTCATTTTTATGAGAGAGAGAGAGAGAGAGAGAGAGAGAGAGAGCGCTTTCTCAAGTTATATTAGAAATGGAAAACAACAACATTATTTTACTATTTCATGTCATAATGTCAAAAAGAATGTATCATTCTGACAAAGTGAGACACTTTGAAGACTGGACCAGAAATGACAGAGCTGTCATATACACACTGTCTATATGACACTACTCATTTTCTTAGCAAAGACTTAATCCATTCTAATACTAGAATAACTGTATTAATATACACATTGTCCAATGCTGTCCCACTTCTGTCACTTTGTAAGTTACAAACACGTACATATAGTCTGCTTTAGTTATTTCAAATATAGTAAACACTGAGTATGTCAGATGAGAGAGAAACATTAGCTGTATATTCCACTATCCAATATTGGCTGTATATATACCACTATTGCTCTATTGCTGTGAAAAGGTGTACACATTGTACAAAAAACTGCAGAGCACACTCCTCCTCCTGTTTATGACGCCTCTTTTAGTATACATTCAAACATATTGACAGACAATGCAGCCAAGAAAACTGGTTATAAACATTGGAAAATTATGCTTTGATTTTACATGATTTAATGTGTCAGTCAGTGTCACATAAGTACATGCAGCATCAAACACCTGTCGTTTTTCAGTTCACTTAAACACATTTTATCCAATTGCAAACTTATTGACACGTTTCAATCACGTAAATTCACACAATTTAGAACATTTCGTGCGGTGTTACTGTTCTTGATATGAGCGACTGAGCGGTCCTCACTCTGCTACAGTGAACAGGATGCTAACTATGCTCATCGTTCTTTGTGCTCAATACGCTGGAAAACTGAGCGAAACCTCTCACCACAACATGAAACACAGCGCTCACTCACTCTCATATCTGCCTGCATTACTTTTCAATAACTCTCACACCAGTTAGACATTTAAAAACACCGCGTTTAAAGTATCACCCTCTCTCTCGGTTGCTGCTCTCAGTCTCACGCTGGTGCTCATTGTCTGCTCTTGTTTTTCACGTCAAGCTCCTCACGTTAAACTGAAACATGCCGTGTAACACGCTTTCTGTTCACCACAGTGGTGCTGTGTATTTGTTCATACTAACTCGCTGTTAAATGTTAAGCTATCCTGTCACTTTACTCTTTCATAAAAGCGAAACCAGCGCGACAGAAACATCTCCAACTCGTCCCCAAACAGTGCAGAATTCACTGCGCTCCATCCTCTCATGCTCATACTCACTCTGTCCCTCGAATTTTCGTATTATTATTCCCAGAAAAGTGTTCTGTGGCGCCACATGACCTCTTCGCACCGGCATGGTTAGAAAATCTTCACTTTTGTCCGGGTCCGCGGGCGCGTCTGCTGCTCCTCGACCCCCCGCTCCCCAGTAAAGTTAACGCGGCTGCCGGATGCTCTTGCTTCGGCCAGCTATCATGCTCGCCTCGCGCTGAATCTCTCCACCTTTTCAGAGACCTTTGCTGGCGTTATTTAAGCGCGGTGGCAGGCAGCTGCATTCCGGACTCCTCGCGCGCAACGAGAAACAACCGCGGAGGACGAGGCGCGCCGGGTTCAGTCCGAGGACCATCGCTTTTGATGGAGACGGAGGAGCTCCTGTCGTGCTGAGCGCGAGCGGAAGACTGAGGTTCATGTGGCGGAGGAGAGCACGCGCCGCTGCCTCTGGGGGGGCTTTTTAGCACGGTGCGCTCAGCTCTGCAGCCGCGGTTAAGGAGTCAAGCCGGGGTTCACGGCGCACATGTCGTCGGTGATACGTAGAGGAGGGGAAGGGGAGGGGAAGGAGGAGGAGGTGGGGGAGGTGAGGCCATGCTCTCATGACACGACACGTGGCTTTGTTTTCCACCGACACTGAGCAGGCCAGGTAGTGCCTACAAGACGGAGGAGGTTGTCAAACGTTTAACAAACCCAATAGAGCGCTAATAGATTAGGAGGGAAACACCTGATGGCCTGCTAAAAGAGGAGAGTCCTGCTGGCGTACAGTAAAGCGCTTTGTGCCCCTGTCCATGGTGCTGATCTTCCAGCACGCAGCGTATACGGGCTCGCATGAAGAACAGACCTACATTTTTTTTCTAAACATTTAATGCCTGTGTGGGTCGAGTAAACACCATGCATATTTAGTGAATGGGTTTTTTCACCCCCAGGGCATTCCTATAGGCATTAATCCATACATGTCCTGCTGACAGCACGCAGCTAATCTCTCCTCGCTGCTACTGCTGCTGCTGCTACTTGCTCTTAAAAACATGCAAATGTGTGCAGAATGGAAAGGCCTGTCTGACTGTAACATCTGTCCCAGTATTTCAAAGGATCTCAACATCCATCTGCTCCATTCAGAAAAAAAAATGAAAAGGAAAAAGTGGACTCAGGGCATGAAGATGTAAACAGCAGCAGTCTTTACTATATAAAGAATGTTTTCCACCTTGTGATGAAGTTGGGCGGGAAACCACCTTTTCTCACATTTTCCATCACAGCAGATGAATAAAATAATGGCATGAACAAAGTATCTACAAGATCAAAGGGCAAGCGACTACAGAGAGGTCTGGGTGAAGGAAGGTAGAATGAGTCTTATTTTGGATTCTGTTACAAGCCCATTTCCTCAAAACTGTGCTGCATCCACATTTTGACAAAGTGCATGCTGCAAGCGCTGCCTAACTCTCGACAGCTTAATTACGTCTGCAGTAAGCACTGATGTATCACTAATGACAGACGGAAAGGCAGAGATACTTGTGCTGGTCTGAGGTCAGGATTAACTCTGACTCAAATCAGTGCAGGCCTGTAGGTGGCGTCGTGACTGTCGCAAAACCAGTTCAATGTGGTCCAGGTTGCCGTGGGATATTTAGAGGACAGAGGTGAACCCAGAGGTCACAGACTGCTTCGCTGTTGACTTTTGATGTACTCATTCCAGTTACAGCACTGCTTTATCATCATTGTTTGCATTGTAGGCTAGACATGATGAGCTATAGCTAAATACATAAAAGGTGTTTGCTTTTTACCACACTCACTGTGGCGTAAACAGAAATACCTTTTTGGGTAGGCCTGTGAAAAAGTGTGTAGGCTAGCATGGTAGTTGCAATTTCTAAACGTGCTAATGTCCTGCATTGTCAATACATCAGCCTATAGCCTATTCCTGACAGCTGTGTAGTGATTACCCAACCTATTCCAATGCTTCCATCCCATGGTGACACAAAACAACAGCAATCAACCAGAACACTGGATTCACATAAACATATCCAACACTGCAACACGCTTCACTATAAAGCATCACCGCAGGCATGTTTGCCCAATGAAGATGACAACTGAGATGTACAAAGGAAAACACAGCAAATGTAAAAACCTAAACATAATCATCAGAGGCTAAATCATACTGGCACAATGGGCAGACCCAAAGAAGATAATATGTCTGAGATAAAATAACACATCAGATGTGCAAAGCTGAAGAAAAAACAAAGCAAACATGAAACCCAAACCTAATCATCATAGGCAAAAGCATACTTTCATGCACAGCAGTCATGAAAAATGCTTAAGGTCCATTTATGTCTTACCTTTGATGATTCGATGCCTTGAAGTAATGTTAGACATTTGCTTTGATATTTTGACAATGCCTGTGTCAGCCTTTGTAATAAAAGAGCACGGTAAGTTCTAAAGTCGTAGAAAACTAATGGCGATGTTTTTTAAAATTTGTTTTTGGCTTTAGATGAGTAGAAAACGACATACCTCACAGGATGGAATCTTGCTTTAAATGTCTTTTAACCACAACTGGAGCTTTAAACTCAAACACTGGCATGATGACAACAAACTGAAGGCTTGTGGCAATGGTGGTTGGTAAGCAACGAGTGCCAAGTAGTAATTGGAGGGCTAAGGAAAAAAAGGTAGAGTTTGGCAGAGAGCATGATGATTTGATTGGCAATAATACATTGACAGCACTCAAAGAAAGCAAACAAATTGTATTATCTCAAAAAGTTTGGTTTAATAAATATTCTTCCCACACTTGATTGGGTAGGCCTGTAACCAATCTGGTAAGGCCCAGGCCTACCCATGGCTACGCAACTGGTTCTACATAGTAGCGAAAAAGGTTATGTGATTAACAATAGCATATGAACCATTTTTTATGCTACATAGAACCATTTTTAAAAGGTTATATGCAACTATATACAGCAAATTCTCCATACCAAGGACAGCTTTCTGAGTTACTTAGTTTAGACAAAGGTTCTCCTAATGCTTTTGTACTTCATCTCAGTTAAGTAAATAATATAGTTTCAGCTTACTTAATAAACATGAATTTGGTTGCCTCCTTATAAGCTGAAATTGATCACTTTTTGTTGAATTTTCACTCCCGCTCTGCTATTTCCACTAGAGACTCAGACTCCTCCTTTTGGATTATAACTGTGGAATGCTGTGGCATTTCTGGGATTCAAACTCAGGATCACCTGATGATGGGGAGTAGTTCAAAATTTGCACCATTTTTTTTTTCCAATTTGCAAATAACATCAAGACTGTGATTTGGTCGCAGGCACAAGCCGAAGGCGAGTGCCATAGATCATCACAGCCATGATGTTATTCGCGATAACACACAACCTAAAGTGTTCGATTGCTTTTATACAACAGTTAAATAAATAAAGTACAAAACAAATAAACTGGGCTGTGAACGTGGCATTTAATATATTTTAATGTTAGCAATTCCTTCCACCAAATTATAGTTTCTTAACAAGCAGCATGTTGCTACGTCAGAGTAACGAACGTCGCTCACTCGCTGCACAGTATGCTGTAAGCCTCTTGAAGTACGGACTGAGCCATAAAACTGCCACAATATCAAGTTTAGCTCAGTGATGTCATTTTTTTTTTATAATTTTTGCTATAATTGTTTTGTTCCAGCCAGTCTGTAAAGCATCTTACAGCCCATTTTGTTTGGCAAATGGTATTCGGTCCATTTCTGGCTAATTCCAGGTTGTTTAGGTGTTGTTCTGTCACAGCTGCCAACTGAAAAGCTTGCTCAGTGGTGATGACAGTTTCAGAATTTAGTGCAGTCTCATCTTCAGAGTCTGACCAAATTGGCTGTCCATCAAATGTGATCTTAAAAGTATCCATTTTCTGTTTGTGCGCAAAGTAAGAAGTAAAAACATTCAAATGGCTTCAGCGTCTTCTAGAGCTGTGAAACTCGTTGCTTAGCAACAGCATCTCAGTGGAGTGATACAGTGTTTCTGAAAAAACTGCTGTTATGGCGAAATAATAGCATGGTTAGAACGCTTCTCAACCAATCAGCTTGCATGGCCGGAACTAACTGTTGTATAATCCACAATATACCACGGCTATGACCGCCTCACTACAACTGAACTCTGTATTACTGCGCCATGGCACGAAAAACCCTTCTGCTGTTAATGGATTAATCTTTGACTTTAATGCTCAAGGAGCATGGACACGGAGCGCCGAGTGTAGTGATTAAGTAAGAACCCATTTTTGATTAAACTGAGTGGCTGAAAACTTAACTAGAACTAGGCTGATCAGCTAGCCAACAAGCTAAAAGGTAGCAAACATGCTTAACAACTTCAACATTAACATCAAAGGCTTCAATTAAAGTACTTACGATATGATTCACTGAAAAACGGCAATATGAAAGTCTAAAGAATGTCACCTGAATGGCTTATACGCTTCAAATGTTCATGTTTCAGTCAGAAGTAGCATCAAATCCCGGCTGAATCCCAAATGGCTTCGTATTCCCCAGCTAAATAGTGTTCTGTGTAACATTAAGTTTAGAAATAGTGCAAAGCTCGTCGAGTATGAATGTGGATGAATCCCAAATGACCATTTTTTAGCGATATTTTGCATTGTTGGGGTGCAGGAGTAAGTATGTAGCTAGCGCACTATGTCAGGAGCAGGGAGCCGTTTGACATTCGGGCCCAGTGTGAGAAAAGTGGCGTCGTCAGACTGGCAGAAGAAGACTTCCGATGGTAATTTGGTGACCAAAAAGTACTTATGACCTGAAAGTTTTTGTATTAAACAGTGCTATGTTACAGTATGTTCACTGTTATACAAAAAAAGGTTTTAAAAAATCATGAAATGTCTGCAGTATACAGTGACTGGCGACCGAAAGTCCTTCTCCTCATTCAGCGGTCCATGGTTGCTTAGCAATGATACCATACCCAAAAGGAAATACTTGTTTAAGTCGATTATTATTAATAATAACTTAAATAATTATCTAAAACATTGTGTATTTAAATATATTTTATGTTGGCCACCATTTTATAAAAGCAATAAGCCACTTGAGGCAGTGCGTTACTGCGATTTTATCACGGGGAAGAGTGCTGTTGA